TCGATACACCGTTGGAAAGGTATTGAGCCCAGCTTTCTAGCAATATAAAGTTCTTCGCGATAGGAGAAAGATTGACGGAGCGGCGACGGTGTGAACACAGAATTCACGGCACTGAGCGATCGTGATTTTTTTTGTTCATGCATTCGCAATTTTCTGTTGCGTGCCAGGGGATTTCCCTTTGGCGCAGCGCATGCGTAATGGACGCCAGCGGGAGCATGTGGATCACAGCTTTGCAGCGCAGTTTGAATCGTGAAAATCGGCTGAACTGGAAGAAGAAATCGAAAAAGAATGTGAGATCGAGTTGCTGTGCCTTTCCGAGGCATCGTGAAGTAGTTTCAAGAGGACATAGAAGTTGCACCTCTGTGCATATTGAGAAGAGAGCTACCAGGGTGGATTCGCTTGGTCCTGATCTTTCCAACAAGCCCAGGATGACGAAAATCCATCAAGGTGAACTGAATCGAGAGAAAATTCGTTCGAACCTGTGCGCGAAAACGGCACCAGGAGAGTTAGTCCATCGGCCAAGTCTCAAAATCGAAAGTGGTGATGCACTGAGCTTCCAACTAAACGCGACCATACCCAGCACGTAGAGAATATATCAGAGAACACTATTCCGTTTGTTGGACGTGCCGAGTTCAGTCCAGGGCGTCGATACGAAGCGTTCTTCGTCGCCGAGTTTTTTACTGTGCGCTCCATTTGAGAGTGCGCAGAGTTCTGATCGAGAGTTTTTTGAGCAGATTTTCAAATTTTTGAGGCTGTCAGCTGACAGCTGTCAACCCTAAATGGCACTTAGTATGTGACAGGCAATAGGTTTTGGTGCCTCCGTATGCCTTCTAATAAGTTCTATCTTCCTTCGTTTCACTTCGCTGCTTCGCCCACCATCTCTCAGGAGATGACAGCGTACCTGCACTAGTCAGCTCTCGCTAACCCTGTCTCTCTTTCTCCGTCTTAGCGCTCGTCATTCGTGTCCTTCTGCTGGGGCGAGCTTGATACTGTTGTGTCGTAGTTTTTAGGCAATAGTGGCTGTTGTTCGCGTGACGATCAGGATTTATGGAGAAAGACGACGACTCGCCAAGTTCCCATGCAGCCACAGACGGCGTAGCAATTCTTACCGCCAACCCTTCGAGCAACGGAACCGGCCTGAGTTGGAAATCGTGTCTGTGTAATTGTGCCACGATACGGATGAAACACACAGGCTCACATGTGACAAGATGAAGATAATCTCAACAGGCTGACGGAAATCCAACAGGCTCACGGGAACGCTGCAGTTATGGTCGGAGACGCGGAGTTATTTAGTCACTGGTAAATGTTGCATCGAGAGCTGTGTGCTCTAACACACTTGTAAAAATCATGAAAAAGCGAAAATAATGCAATGGTGGGGCTGAGTGGTGTTCTGTGGAGGAGACGTCGCTGTCTCAGTATTCAACGCCGGACCCTGTATTTCAAGTCTGTGGTCATGCTCGATCATAAGTTCCTGTATGGCTCCAGTGCCTTCTCAGCATTGTTGGCGGGTAAGCACCTGGATCGTGTCCAAGTACTGCGGCTCTGGTGGCTTGAGGGATGTACGGGTGCTCGCCGTGCACCCCTGCCGGCAATCTGCTAGTGAAGCTTGGTACCTACTGTGTCCGGGAGATTTTCATCCAGAAGCTGATCTTCCTAGGCTGGAGCTGCTGCTACTCCTGTGCTAGCCCTCAACCACTGGCGCTCCTACTCGGCTCTAGTGTGGGCCATTAACCACCCTGCCTGATTTCGCACTGTTGCTATTCCACACCGTCAGCATTTAACTCTGAGGTCAGACCTTGATCCCTCCCACCATATGCTATCTGTCTGTGTGCCTCTCTCTCACACACAGATGTGCGCGCATACACACAAACACACATGCACACACACACACACGCACACACAGTGACACAAACATACACATAGCCAACTTCTCTGTGTTTGGTGATCATCATCTGTTTTCTGATGTGCAAGCTCACCTCTGATGCCGATTACTTCCTTGCTTAGACCCGGTCTGCTATTAGACCAGTCTGCTCTCCCTTCACTCGCTTGTAAATCCTACTTGGAGCAGTAAGGTTGTGTCACTGCTCCTACTGATGTCATTGTTGTGAAAGCAATATCATCGCCATTGGTGGTACTTTTCTACCGTGCATGAATCATTTTAAACAATCATCATCTATGTGTCACGGCCCAACCATCCTCGTTACTCCCCTCATCGTGACTAGTGCTGTACCTTTGAAACCTACTTTGCTTCAGTGTATATTCGCTCCAAAGCTCTTGTTTTGTTGCATAGTGATCTGACGCAGTGTGCTATAGCCTATCGGGTAATATGGATAAAATTAGTACAGTCGGCATCGCCTATCGAGTGACCAGGTACATGTATAAGGATACTAGTACATGTATACCGGCTTAATGATATCGGAACACAAATAGCACTATGTGTGCAATATTCCTTTCTAAGCTCACGCTGTGCGGTGCAGATAGGTCATGTGTCGTTGCCAACTTGCCGCATGTGCATGTGCAGCAGGAAGGCACCACATGTCGACTACTACTTATACTGTACAGCATGGTGTGCTTACATGCATCTACGGCCTTGTGGATGCAATTGAGTCTCACATACATGTACATGAAATATTGCTTGTAGTGCGGCATCAGGTGTTAACATACAATGGCTAAATATTTTTCTCGCAATAATGACCGTATTCACCACAAGTGTGTTTATGTCCAGAGCCAACCCAAGTCCTGTATTATTTATGACCATGACAACAAGACTTCCGGGCTGAAATTCTTCTATGACAGGCATGAACACTTGCCTTACAATTGTTCGTGATTGTACGAAGTACATATTCGCTGTTGCATCAATTTTGCACCATTTACATTGTAGTGCCACTAGTGGTATCACCTGCATGCGTATTGAGTCAAACAAGGTTACCTCTGTATAATTATGCTTATCGTGGCTATCAAGAGCTTCGATGTAAATTCCCAGCTGACGAATGGTGTCCAGCTTGTGTTCAGCTCAGCTGGCACTCACAACTCATAATAATTGCGTTCTAGACGCCAGATGAGATGTTTCAGCTACAATTTAGACAAAACGTTCGTGTTCAAGAAAGCCGTCACTTCATCTTCTGTCCATCCTCAATAGCACGTTCAAGCAAATACGTCTGAAACACAGTAGCGACAATCCGACAGCGGCGACACGCCGTCTTCTCCGAATGAGCTTCTACCGTTCTAATTCAGATTCCCCCAAAAATGTCAAAATAAATAATAGATTTCCGCCAAGCTCGCTAGAATCTTGCGAACCGTCAACATGCAGGCATTTCAAGTGTTCGAGCGTGCGTAGATTCTGCTCAGCGGCTCAAGAACATTCGCCAAGCGAAAAAAAGTCGATGAGAAAGATGTAATGGTGGACGAAATTACGAAAATCGGAAGAAGGTATTCGACCCAGTTCGACTATCCTGGACTGGATTGGCAACGTCCAACAAACGGATTCGTATTCTATGGGGTCTCATGAGCTAGTGTGCCAAAGGGCGTTTAGTTGGAGCTTCAGTGCATCACCTTCGCCGAAAGAGGCCCTTTCTGAGATTTGGCCG